TACCTACTCATGATAACACAGCTCACGAAAGCTGTGTGGCGTGTTGGAAAAATCATGGTGGAAGGTTCGAGATGGGTTAGTTTCTATCACGATGCTTTAGTGCATGTCCTGTTGGGGATCCTGCCAGGCCACAGTGTACACTTGATTCCTAAGACCTGCCAGGTAGGGGACAGGGCCCTAGGGAGAGTAGAAAAGCAGTGGTGGTGGTGGTGGGGGGCTACTGCAAATCCCACTGACATCAATCCTTCGTGGGAGAAATGAAAGGAGGGAGGAAGACAGATAATGCGGGACAAAGCAGGAAGATAAGAGAGGGACGTGCATATTCTAGGATAAGAGTTAAATTTATTACAAATTAGACTGGTTTGTTTTAGAGCAAAGGAAGACAAGGAGAGAATGAACAGCGGGTCATTTAAAAAACTTAACGTGGTTGTCTATGCTGAAGGAAAGAGTCATGCTTCCTTCTCAAGGAGAGAACAAAAGGCGGCATGACTGAATACGGCATTAGTGTGGCAGGGCCCGATGCCAACCTGCCTTTAGGGCACTCAGCTTCTTCAGTGAAGAATGGGTAAACGTGTCATCCTCTGCCGTCTGTTCCAAAGCACCACAGACAAAGGAACCCAACACAACTCTCTCGGTAGAGTCAGTGACACCCTCATTTCCAAGCCCGACCGCACACGCTGGGCAAAACTGGTCTTTCTTAGGAAAATAATTGCCAAATTCTAAATCAAACACTAGCAGACAGAATTTGACGGTACACTCAAAGTCCGCTCCGCCATGGTCAAGATGAATCCAGGCAGGGAGAGCTTCATATTAGATGGTCAATGAACAGTGACATCAACAGGGCAAAGGGCAAAATTAAAAGAGGAGGGCACCTGGGTGGCTCAGTGGGTTAAGCCGCTGCCTTCGGCTCGGGTCATGATCTCAGGGTCCTGGGATCGAGCCCCGCGTCGGGCTCTCTGCTCAGCGGGGAGCCTGCTTCCCCCTCTCTCTCTGCCTCTCTGCCTGCCTCTCTGCCTACTGGTGATCTCTGTCTGTCGAATAAATAAATAAAATCTTTAAAAAAAAAAATTAAAAGAGGATGACACGCCCCTCAACAGCTGGAGAATGGATGTTAAAGAAATATAACTCTTATTCCTAATGAGTTCTGGAAAACAAGGACAGAGAGCTGCTTCCTTAACCTTAGCGGGAACATCCACGTGCCTGGGAGGCTCAGTCAGCTCAGCAGCTGATTCTTGATTTTGGCTCAGGTCATGCTCTCGGGGTCGTGAGATCAAGCCCTACAACCGGGCTCTATGCTCAGCGGGGGGTCTGCTTGAGAGTCTCTCTCCCTCTCCCTCTGTCCCTCCTCTATCCTGTTCATGCTCGCTCTCTCTCTCTCTCTAAAAAAAAAAAAATTTTTTTTTAAAAGATTTTATTTATTCATCTGAGAGAGAGAGAGACAGAGAGAGCACAAGCCGGGGCAGAGGGAGAAGCAGACTCCTCGCTGAGCTGGGAGCCAGACCTGGGGCGCGATCCCAGGACCTGGAGATTATGACCCGAGCCGAAGGCATATGCTTAACCATCTGAGCCATCCAGGTGTCCCCTCTCTAAAAAATTCTTTAAAAAACCCCTAAAACATTACAGAGAGTATCTATCCTCAACCAACAGCCAACATCAAACCCAACAGGGAATTGTTACTTCCCCTTCAATCCGGAAGTGAGACAGGACCATCTGGACCACCGCCTTGAACATTCCATAGGGTTTTCTGAGCCATTTAACACACAGTACGTACACAGACCCCAAACCATAGAAAGAGAACACTAATCCTTATGTGCTGATCATGGAATCCTAGCCCATCTAAGAGGCTTTTACCCCTAACCCAAAGTAGGAGAGATTTGTAGGGAATCTGGGTAATAGAAGATAGTATGCAAATAAATTTTTAAAAAATTACGTGCCAGCCATTACCAGTCAAAAATCATAGAAAAGATTTCAGTCACAAGACCAAAAATAAAATATAACCAAAAAATATTCAGGAATAATCTTAAGAAATGTGTAGGACCTCCACGAAGAAAACTTTTTAAAACCTGGCTCAGCATAAGGGAAGTCTTGAATAAAGACAGAGACGGGGCACCTGGCTGGCTCAGCTGGTGGAGTGCACAACTCTTGATCTGGGGGTTGTAGTTTGGGCCCTACTCTGGATGTAGACATTACTTAAAAATAAAATCTTTTTTTTTTTCTAACTAAATTATTTATTTTATTTTATTTTTTTAAAGATTAAAAAAAATTTTTATTTATTTGACAGAGATCACAAGTAGGCAGAGAGGCAGGCAGAGAGAGAGAGAGGAGGAAGCAGGCTCCCTGCAGAGCAGAGAGGCCGATGTGGGGCTCGATCCCAGGACCCTGGGATCATGACCTGAGCCGAAGGCAGAGGCTTTAACCCACTGAGCCACCCAGGCGCCCCTAAATTATTTATTTTAGACTGTGGGGGGAGGAGCATGAGCAGGAGGGGCAGAGGGAAAGGGAGAGAGAATCTCAAGCAGACTCTGTGCTGAGAGATGAGCCTGACACTGGGTTTGATCTCATAACTCTGAGATCACAACCTGAGCCAAAACCACGAGTCAGATGCTTGATCAACCACACCACCCAGGCGTCCTCAAAATAAAACCTTAAAAAAAAAAAGCGAGGAGAGGCATACCACATGGAGGTCTGGGAGGGGTAAAGATGTAAGGCTTTTCCAAATTTATTCTGAGTTTAACCTCATTTCAAGCAAAATCTCAAGGACTTTAATAATAAAATTGTACCAGAGTTCTACTGAGAGGAATAAACAGGTGTGAAGCACTCAAATAATTACAAGAAAAGAAATGAAGGGAGGCTAGCCCGCCACCAGATGTTAAGACTATGTTGAAAAATCCGATAATTAAATCAGCAAAACAGAACACATACTCCAGAAACAGAGCCTGGAGTGGAAATGGGGATAACTTTCCAGGAAAGCAGTCTGAAAACATAGATCGAGAGTCTTAAAAACGTTCCTGTCTTTTCCCCTTCAAGGGCACGATCTGAAGCGGAAACTCAGATCCCTGCACGGGCTTGGTCCCTGGCGGATTATGAGAGCAAATGCCAGACACGTCACTTGGGCAGTTACCAAAGTCATGCCTGGGGGCAAGTAATACAGTGATTAAAAACGTTTACAAGTTAAAAAAGAAAAATCAAAATGTTTACAAGTGTACCTTGTTTTTAAACTGGAAATACAGATGACAATTTTTTTTTTTTTCAAACCCACAGGAAACCGATCAGAGCCCCATGTAAAACAAAGATGGGCAAACTGTTGGCTCCACATTCTGACTGCCTAGAGTTGGTCCCGACTGGCCACACTAGGCCTGTGACACTGAGGCCAAGCCCTGGGGGCCTGAGCTCCTCTAAGACATAGCCACCCGCTCTAGCCTCGACGTTTATCCTCACGGCAGCACAGGCGGGAGCCTATCACTCAGGGTTTCCGAGGGAGGGCATGGGCCCCGCTGGGGTTATTCTAGCATGCAGGGCGAGTTTATTGCCAAGGGATGGCAAAGTCCTTGCCAAAGCCCCGGAATCATGACGGAGGCTCTTGCTGTGCCTATCCACCGATGATCCAGAGAATTTCTGGAAGCAGATCTGAGGATGTGCATCGAAAGCCTTCATATTTTGGGTCTCTTTGGGGCCAGAATTCTATTTAGGCATGTGTTCTAAAAAATAGCTATTCGACTTTTAAAACAATAATGTATCATTATAAATGGTCTCTGTGTCCAAAAATAGGAAACGGGAAGACACCATAAACCTCACACCATCTGAAAAAGTAGTTCCATGTTAAAGCTAACAAAAAATAGAGATGACAAAAAGGAAAAGAAAGAATTAACTATTGAAGACAGCTTAGGGTAAAGAACATTCAAATTATTTCTTAAAAGGAGAGGATGTAGGTATTTCTAGTGATGGCCTTTCAGAACGACCAGTGGGCCCTGAAAATGCTCTCAGGAGGCTGCCCTCTGAGAGGAAAAGTGTGTGATGTCTTGCCTTAGGCTTTCCTAACAGTAGAGGGACACAGTCTCCCACTGGCTTGTGCATCAGAATCACCCAGGAGCTGGTTAAAAACTCTCCAGCCTGGGTGGCTCCGTCGGATAAGTGTCTGCCTATGGCTCAGGTCACAATCCTGGGGTCCTGGGATCGAACCCCAGAGCCCCATGTCAGGCTCCCCGCTCAGCGGAGAGTCTGCTTCTCCTTTTCTCTCTGCCTGCCGCTCCCCCTGCTTGTGTTCTCTCTCTGCCAAACAAATAAATAAAATCTTTAAAAAACCCCAAAACACTCTCCAATCACTCCCCAGGCTCCAGAACGGGGACCTCCCAGGGGGTGGGTGGGTGGGTGGAAGCTTCTACATTTAGGCCCCATGAGTGAGGCTCAGGCAGTGGGACTTGCTCCAGTGCCCAGTTTAGGAATGACGGTCTGCTGGAGAGACTAAATCCCAGTTTAAGTTAAGTTTTAGGTCTGGGGGCGCCTGGGTGGCTCAGTGCGTTAAGCCTCTGCCTTTGGCTCAGGCATGGTCTCAGGGTCCTGGGACGGAGCCCCACATCGGGCTCTCTGCTCAGTGGGAAGCCTGCTTCTCCCCCTCCCTCTGCCTGCCTCTCTGCCTACTTGTGATCTCTCTCTCAATCTCTGTCAAAAAAAAAAAAAAGTTTTAGGTCTGCAAAGTTGACTCCAGGTGCCCCTTTCCCCATCTGTAAAGTGGGACTAAACCTGCGTTTCCACCTTTGAAAGAGAACACGGGGTCTTGGCCTATGGAGAGCTGGTGGGGAAGGCCCTGCGTTGTGCCAAAGTGGGGACGGGTCTTCCCCTTCGGCAGGGGTGACCCCGCAAAAGTACCACCATTCCGACTACAAGACAGAAGGGTCCCCGGTACAGAGGCCCAATACCGGAGCCCACACCTGAGGCCATCTGAGCCCCGCGTCTTGCTTGACGGGAGGGCTGGACACCCCCACGAGGACGTCCCCACCTACCAGCCCAGAGCTCCGAGGCGATGTGGGGGGCCATCGGGGCAGCCATCACCACCAGGGCACAGAGCGCGTCCTCAAACTCGCGGCTGTGGAGAACCACTCTCGGAGAAGTTTGCTGAGGAAGGGAAAGAACAGTGGGAGAACGCTAAGACTGGGTGAGGAAGGCCGTTCGTGTCTCTGAAGCCCAGAGATGCAAGCGGGTAGGCAGAAGCCCTTCTTCCCATCCATGTCTGCTCTGGACACAGAACTTGCCCTGTTTCATCAGAGTATTAAGAGTGTATTAAAAACAGTGCTCCGCTCTTCGCGGAGCACGTCCTGTGCCCTCGGTCCAAGGCTGACTCCGTAGTTCCCACCAGAACCTTGGAGGGCGATGTTCTTACCCACCTGACGTGACCTGTTCCCCCCACCCCCTGGGTGTGCGGCTGACCAAATGTTGTTGCCCCCATGAGAATCCAGCTGTCTTAAATCAGAAACTTTTTTCCCTTATTTTTTTTTTAAGATTTTATTTATTTATTTGACAGAGAGGGAACACAAGACGGGGGTAGTGGGAGAGGGAGAGGGAGAAGCAGGCTTCCCGCAGAGCAGGGAACCTGATGTGGGGCTCGATCCCAGAACCCTGGGGTCATGACCTGAGCCACCCAGGCGCCCCACTGAATCAGAAACTCCTGACCACTCTGCGAGGTTTCCCATGCACTGCAGGACCAGTAAGGCATGCAAAGAGACTCGATCACAGGCTTTACGATGTGAAACGCCCAGGAAAGGGGTCCTCCTGTCCCTTCAGGCGTCTCGGGGGTCCTATTACACAGCTGTGCTGGTTACTGTGAATACCCAGTTTCTTCCTGCGGTGCAGCTAGTCCCAGAACGCAGCCACACCCACTGAATTTATGGGGTACCTACTGGATGCTAGACTTTAGGGATAAAATGTCCAAAAGGGTTTGGTTTCTGCCCTCAAGGAGGTTATAGCCAATGGGGGAGAAAAATGACAGATGAATCGAGGGTGTCACTGATTCCACAGGCTGTGGGTGGGGAGGGAGGGTGGTCAGCAAAGCAGAGTGTGAGCTGGCGAGTGTAGACCAAGGACAGCCTAGAGGGAAGTGGGCTGTGAGAAGTCATACTGAGTTTCCCAGAGGCTTGCCAGGGGGGGGGGGGGGGGGGGGGGGGGGGGGGGTGGGTGTCATGATAAAAACCAGCCTAAGGCGATGGTACCAACTCAATCTGTATTTTTAACACCCATGTAAGGTATTTTGCTAGGTAAAAAGAGGCCAAAAATATTATACCTTTTTTTTTTTTTTTTTTAAAGCATGCCTATATGATCTTTGCAAAACTGCCCAAGAAATCAGAATATAACTCCATGGGAATGGATACAGAGAGCATCTACCAGAAGGGCTGCAGACAGAACTTGCTGCTGGGGAGAAATCTAATTTTTCTGTAATATTTGTCAGGTTTTTTCCTGATTAAAAAAACACACAAACGGGACCCCTGAGGGGCTCAGTTGGTGAAGCGCCTGCCTTCGGCTCAGATCATCATCCTGGGGTTCTGGGATTGAGCCCCCGCATTGGGCTCCCGGCTTAGTGCGGAGTCTGCTTCTCCCTCTCTCTCTGACTGCTGCTCCCCCTGCTTGTGCTCTCTCTCTCTGACAAATGAATAAATAAAATCTTGAAAAAAAAAAAAAAAGACCCATACACACTCAGCAATCTGGGAAATACAAAATCACTCACAATTATACCACCCAGAAAAATACCTGATGTATTTTATCCTGGTCTCCAAAAATATGTGAATATACACATCTGTCCCCATACCTTTGCTCAACTGGAATTTTTATCCTATGAGCATTTCTGTATTGTGTATTGACTTGATGTTGAATCAGGAACGGTTTCTGATACAAAGGATTCCTGGAAGACACGATGTGAATGGTGGTGGCACATTTCCTCCCTATTGATATGATAGACATGATCTCATGATGTCCGCATTGAGGACAGCTGGGGTTCTACCTCTCTGTGATTATAAGTCACCTGCCACAGGCTGGCCCTGAGTCAAAGGACGTAAACCATCAAGCCAAAGTTCTCAAAGCCAAAGTTCTTCCTGGCAAGGTTACAACAACCAAGGCAACTGCTGGGATGTGACACTGTCTTACTGTCTTTGTCATAGCACAGACTTTATGTTAAAAAGGTCAAAAAAAAAGAAAAAAGCATTGTGTTTTTAATTTGCGTTTCATGATCATTAGTAAGGCAAATGCTTTTTTTTTCTGCCAGGTTTACAGATTATTTCTATCCCATTTTCTGTGGGTGATTCTCTTTTCACATCCTTTGACCATTTTTAGGTCAGGTAGTTTGATATTCACATGTAAAGTGCTCTTTATATATTAAGGATGTTAAGCCTCATGTCAGACATATTTGTTATAAAATGTTTTCCCCAGGTTTTACCTGCTTTGTAACATGGCGTGTTTTAATATACTAAAAATGGCAGGTTTTATGTAGTCAAACCTGTAAATTTCTTCCACTGTTCTTAAAGTCTGGGAGAAGCTTGATGATAAAAGGAATCTGTTGATAGTTTTCATGTCCTTTTTTTGGTTGTTTGTTGTCCAAACAGCTAACCACTTCCCCAAACTCCTATTTGTTGACAAATTCTTCCCCTGGTAAGAAAAATTCTAGTCACACGTAGCAAGAAGAGCAGTCTATGCTAAAAAGGCTGACTTTTGTTTTTAGTGAGCACAAATCTGATCGGTCTTGGTTAAAGGAGTGTAACACGTTAGGGGGTGTTAGATCAATCAGGAGAGCAGGCAGAGGAAGCAGGAAGGAAAGAGGAGAGCTGGAACAAAAGGGGGCTTGAGTCTGGTTCTGATTTGTTACTAATCAACCAGACATGTCATCCAACCTCCCTGGGTGTCAGTGTCCTCATCGGCAAAATATGGGAGTGGGGGAAGGGACTGAGGGGTGGGCTTTCCACCGGACTATCTTTAAGAACCTTCCAGCTATAAAGCTAGGTTGTGACTGGGGGTGGGGGCGGGAAGGGGATGCTTCTTTAACATAACAGAGCACACCAAGGAGGCGACACCATGGTCCTGTTCTGTCCACGACCCAGGACCCTGCAAATCACCTCCCAATGCGGCTGGAAGTTACCCTGTCCTCTGCTACCAGCAAATGAGGACAGGAGGGCCACTTACCAGAAGGGCACTGGTGAGTCCCATCAGCTGAGAAATTACAGAATTCAGTGAGAAGTCCTCTGTGAAATGGGCAGTCACCTACGGGTAAAAGTTGAATAATGTACTTTCTTCAAAATCCCTTTAAGCTTTCCACAAAGACCAATGCAACACAACAACAAAGCAAGTGCATTATTCAAACAATGCAAATTAAATGAATGTGAAGATATTTACGAAGGCATTCATTATCTTGAATAATCATGATAACGTTTCACTGGCACAAAGATTTTTAAAATCAGGGTCAATGGTGTTTCCGGGGTTCCACACTTCCTGCTCCCCCACATTCGGGACAGTGTCGGTTCTCCCGGGGGTGGACATCGAATGCTACCAACTACCCGGACAGGAAGCAGGACCTGCAGACGACAACAGTCACCGGGAGATGGGGTATGGGATGTCCCTTCTCTGCTGCTTTGTGACTTTCATTCACAACAGCGGTTATTTGTACACGGGATAAGGTGAGTTTTGCATGTTCAGATATGGAATCAAAGTAAGAACACTGATAGGACTTGTCAGCTCCTTCCTGTTTATGTGCTCCTTGATTTCGGCCAAGAATACAGAAAAACAAGACATCTACAGATGCTAAGAGTTTCCGACTTGTCGAAATACCCCTCGTCTATGACCTGACAGAAGAGAAGAATGTACCAAATCCAGAGAGGAAGAATGTGGCATGGAAACAATCACTTGGGCATCACTCACATTACAAAGCTCAACTGCGTGCACTCTGTGTCTTTACACTAGAGCAGAGGGGTCGGGAATATTCCCTGAGCAAGTGTCACTGAATGAGACCATGCTGGACTCAGGGCCTCATGAAAACCCTGTTCCTGCAATGTCATCAGTTACGAGTCCAAAAAAGTGACCTTGGCTGACTTTATGAGTTCAAACCAGCAATTGTAAAAAAGTAAAAATAGAATTAAAAATTTGGCTTAAGGAGTATTTGGGGTGTCTGGTATCCAGTAAAACATAGCTTTGGATCCCCTCCATGTCTTCTTTCAAAGACGTATGACATTTTTTTTTCACAAAGTGCTGAAAAAAGCAAAGGTCATGGTATGGTATCAGACTTCTAGAGAAATTTATAGGGATCTGTTATCAACGAAGACTCTTTTACAATGAATCAGGGGCAGCTGGCTGGCTCACGACTCTTGGGGCATGAGTTTGAACCCCACATTGGGTATGGAGATTACTCAAAATTGAAATCTTTTTTTTTTTTTAAAGATTTTATTTATTTATTTGACAGACAGAGATCACAAGTAGGCAGAGAGGCAGGCAGAGAGAGAGAGAGAGAGAGGAGGAAAACAGGCTCTCTGCAGAGCAGAGATCCCGATGTGGGGCTTGATCCCAGGACCCTGGGATCACAACCTAAGCTGAAGGCAGAGGCTTTAACCCACTGAGCCACCCAGGTGCCCCCAAATTAAAATCTTTAAAAAATAAAAAAAGAAAACAATTTAAACAGTAAAATATTGTCTGTGAAAGTAACACAAACACATCATTTATTGGCAAAAGTTAACCCACAGTGACTCACACAGATCCTGTGTAACAATGTCACTGGGTGGGGAACTCCTCACCACGTGGGGCATCCGGGAACTCTCTCCGCTCTGGGCCTCATCTCTGTCCCCATCTGTACAGAGCGGTCTCTTTATGCCCCCTTCAACCCTACACTTCTGTTTCTGTTCACCTCAATTGTAGGGGTCCTGTATTTGGTTCTCTGCCCCTGTGTGTTAAGTGTGGCACTGCGGGAAGGGGGCGGCCTCCTAGGATCTGGGGTGCACACGTGGTGGACACCGTCAGAGGAAGCCCTTTCCTGAGAGTGTGTGTCTCCGTGACAGCACATGGACTGCTGCTTCAGCTTGGTGAGCGACTTGACATGGTGAGAGCAGCCCTTCCAGACCAGGGGGCCGCCGGCGTGAGGAAGGAGGAAGGCCTGTCCACCCGGACCAAGCGAGCTCAGTCACAGAACTAACCAGCAGCCCCAAAAAGTTCCTGACCTCAGAGATGACCGAGTTCTTGTATTCCCAGAGCCTCCTGCTCTCGGCTCTCTCCTTGTCACTCAGCAGCTGGGGCCGGGGAGCTGTCCCAGGAGCCCTGGCCTCGATGAAGCGGGTCACCAAGGCCCACAGACGCTGTTGCCACCTCAGCACCCCGGGAAGGGCATCGGCTGAGTTTCATGTCAGGAAACGAGACAGAGAAAGAAAGACCTGTGAGTGACTGATCTGGTTCTCCCCAAGCCCAGAGAGGCACGTGTGCGTTGAAGACACGCTTCCTTATGTCCTGACGGGAGCTACGGGGGCCGCCCTGGCTTCCAGCATCCGGGAGCTCAGAGCAGCATGGACCCCGTCACACCCCAGAGCCCTGGGTCACAGGGTTACTCGGAGTGCCGGCCGCCCACCACCCCGGCCCACGCGGTGACCTCAGAAGCCTGGGCCAGGACGGGCCTCAAGTGCCCACAGCTGTCTTGAGTAAGAAAGCCGGCTTCTGCCAAGGTGTCCCCAGAGACGCCTAGGCCCGAACATGTGCTCTTGGTCCATCCCCAGTGATTCCAGCGCAGCCGGTTCTGGGACCGGCCCCTGTGGCACACTTGTCACAGGCAAGGGCATTTGCCTGCTCCTGCCCACAGCAACCCATGGGGTAGCCCCCAGGAAGGAAGACCGAGTGACCGCTGGACCGTGTATGCTAGGACACCCGGATACCCAACGAGATTTCACCTCCCACCTTTTCAGGTCTAACCAGCTCTGCAGGGACAGCTCTCCTGTGAGGGGGCTCTGGGGGCTGACTGTGGGCAAGGGAGGGGGTCCCAAGGACCATCAGGAGCAGGTCCTGGGCAACGATTCTGCTCTAGAACAAACCTTTCGGGGTGGATCAAGAGGGGACTGGCCTCCGTGGGCCACAGAGGGGTGCGGGGTGGCATGGAAGCCAGTCTGGCTCCCGGGGAATGTCCTCAGGAGGGTCCCTGTAGACCCAGTAGCACACCACAGACTCGCCAAAGGCGGCTTCCTGGAGTCCCCCTGATGCTGCGTCCACAGGCCTGGGGCGAGGACTGGAAACCCACAATGGCCACCAGCTTCCCCCCCCCCACCAGGGAGGCTCCCTCTATCTGGGAACCCCGGGCTAAGAAGGGCACAGGACGTGGGAAACACCACGCTACCCGCTTCCTGGAACGGATTCCTAGACCCCTGACTACGGTCTTCAACCCAGATAGTTCCTTCCCCAAACTCCTCCAGCGCCCGAGGCAGACCACAAAGGAGGCGGCGGCCGAGGGGAAGGGCCTTACTCTTCACGTCCCACAGGATGTCCTTCTCAGGAGGGGCGGCGAAGAGGATGTAGAGCCGGATGGTGTCGAGGCCGTACTGCTCGACGACCTCCTCGGGGTCCACCCCGTTGTGTCTGGACTTGCTCATTTTCTCCCACGTCACCTCCAGCATCTCCCTCGTTTCTGCGTGAACGGGAACCGCACCTGTGCTCCAAAATAACGCACAGGGACAGAAAGTGTGGCTCTCAGGGTCTCAGGGCAGCAAAGCCCCCTGAGGGATCACTCCGGTCTCCACGACACGGTCTCGTGTGACCAGGCCCCATGGAATGTGGTGTGCCCCTGGGGGGCCAGCCCACCACGCACGGCCTGTTCTTTGGATGTGGCTCCTGCCCACCCCCACACCACCGGTCCCGAGGGTGCTGGTGGAGAAGGTCTTCCGTGGCTAGGCTGGGATGTGGGGACCTTGTGGCCAAGCCCCAGTGGCTGGGACAAGAATGGACATCTGGCAAAGCCAAGGTCTTTCTTGGGACGCAGAACTAAGAGAGAGAAACTCTTGTTTCAGTGTTGCCAGGCACCGGAACTACAGTAAAGTGGTAAGGAGATGAGGCCAGACATGGCATCGTGGCTCCCCGAGGCCACCTCATAACCTGAAGCTGGGGAAGAGCAGAAGCTCAGCCTGATGGGGGAAGGAGATCAGGGCAGAAGAACAGAGGGGACGAAAAGGGACCGGAGGCTATCGAAGGAGGGAGGAGAAAGTCCTAGGACTGGCATCTGTGTGTCACCCGGTGGCTGCGGGTACGCTGTGAGCCGGCTGGAACGCTGGCAGCTGGCTTGGGGTGGCATTTCAAATCCTGTGCTCAACCTGCCTTTGGGTGCATTTCTGTTCCTTCCAGCCACACAGTCCCAGACTCCAACGGCAGCCAAGCTCCCAAGGGACTGATGTGTATACCTAAGAGCTAATTCCATGCTTCAGCAGAAGCACACCCACAAGGAGATGGAACCTGCCCTTGCTGACTGAAGTATTCTCTCCCAGGGGCAAGGCTGCACGGGAAGGGAAAAGACGTTCACAACATTGTCTGGCTCCATGACATTGGAGCAAAGGGAGACTGAAGTTGCTTTATCCAGGCTGTGGCTCAGGGAACCATTGCTCCGTTTACCCTGCACACCTGCTCTGGGCTGTAGCTACTCTTTCCAACACTGTTGTGCAAATTAGGAAAAAGCCAACTATCTGGGCAGAGCGGTTGAGAAGTTAGAGAAAGGTGCCTTCTCTTGGCACTGAGGTGTATGGTCTAGCAAGTGGCTGGAGGTCAGGCCCCCCTCACCCCCTTGGCTGGGTGCTTTCGTGCAGTCCACACGCTACCCAGCTGTACATGGCAATCCTGCCTTCACACAGAGCACTTTGCTAACAACTGAAACGCATAAGCCCTTTGGATTTGGCTGCTTTCCCCTCTGGTCCGCGTTGCTGAAACACGGCCAATCTCTGCTCAGCAGGGAGCCTGCTTCCTCCTCTCTCTCTGCCTGCCTCTCTGCCTACTTGTGATCTCTGTCTGTCAAATAAATAAATAAAATCTTAAAAAAAAAAAAAGAAAAAAGAAACACGGCCAATTTCTGCTTTTCCAGCTTTTTTTTTTTTCCCTTGGACTATTCCAAACCCTGATATATTACTGCGCTAAGTAGGTAATTCCACTGATGGCTTCCATCTAAATCTTTTCTCTAGTGTTTGGCTTGGGAGGCTGCCTACCATCAAGGGGTCATTGGGTTCACATGATAAATGCCCTCCATTGGGCACTGCATTTTCTAAAGTAAATGACCAGAGTTCTGGGGGTTTCTCATAGGTGCCCCTAAATACCCCCACTCCCATTTTCTACTGATTTCATTGGTGTGCTGAGCGTACACGACACCATCACGGTGCCGCTTGAGGATCCGGTGGGAGGTACTACCCCTGAGGAAAAGGGCAGAGGAAGTCAGGGGAGTGCCAGACGGGCTGCCCTGGGGTGTCGCAGGGGTTCAGTATTGGGGTGGCACCGAGTTCTGACTTGCGCCTCAAGAGCACCTAGGGAGAAGTGCTGGGAGTACCCCAGACTTAGAAGAGTGTCTTTTGTGTCTGTGGGCTCTGTTCCAGAGATACACTGTCAAACATGAGCAAGGACATGAGGTGAGCAAGGACATGAGGGGATGCCCAGGTTGACTCTGGGTTACACACAAATGAAAACCCGGCCAGAAGCGAACGGACGGTGGGTGGGACTGGGGCCAAGGGACGGGCACCTGCATGGGACCCAATGGGCCCTTCTTACCTGTGAGATCTACTTCTTCTCTCTGTAGATACTGTCCCGATGGCAGGCGGAATGTCTGCCCCTTGATAAGGCCTTGGGCTAGCAGCTTATGGAAAGGCTCTCTGAGAAAAGATAATGGGAAAAGAAATCGGTGGGTGGGGATTTGAAGCATTCAGAAGACAGCAGTACAAACCTCGGCTGATGGACAGAGAGAGCTGCCCTTTGTGAAAGTAGGGGGGCTGGCCACTGTCACCTGGAAACCCAACCGGGACAATGGCTCCTTATTAAGAAGCAGTAAGAACATGAAGTCAAACCAGAGGGTATCAACCGCTTTCCACTTGACAAATTGGCAAAAGCATGAGGCTTCAGGTTCAGAAGGTCTGGATTTGAATCTGTTTCCTACTCAGGGAATTCTCAGAGCCAAGGCAAGTCCCTTACCTGTTCTTAGCACCTGTTTGGTTATCTGCCAAGTAAAGGCAATAAAAATCTGTCCAACGGCTGTCAGGAAGGTTCAAGTAAATGAACGCCTGAAAATACTTGTAAACCTTGAAGAACCCTACATATGTCAGCTCCGTGCTGAGTCTAGTGTCAGGAAGGGCTCGAGAGGGTGCAGGGAGGTTGAAGTCAGGGTTCTGGGCAAGCAGGCTGCTGTTCCCTCCACCTTGTCGACAGTGTCTGCCCACATGACCGGGTGGCTCAGTGGGTTAAGCCTCTGCCTTCAGCTCAGATCATGATCTCAGGGTCCTAGGATCAAGCCCTGCATCAGGCTCTCTGCTCAGTGGGGAGCCTGCTTCCCTTCCTCTGTCTCTCTGCCTGCCTCTCTGCCTACTTGTGATCTCTCTGTCAAACAAATAAATTAAAATCTTTAAAAAAAGAAAAGGTGTAAGTCATATAAATTAACTGCACATAGACCTTTTCTGCTCAAATTCATTATCCTCCTCTTTTTAGGCCTATCCCCCATCCCGAGGAGACAGTTGTTCTTAATTGTACGGTAAATACACCTGGAAAAGTCTGGAGACTTCTTTGAATCCCTTTTCCATACAGATGCATATATGTATAAATGGTTTTGTATAATTTTCTTGGACTTAAATAGATTATAACGAACCTACGACTTTGTGGTCTTTCATTCAACCACAGGAAGGACTTCCCCACGGAGGTTCATACAGACCTAGCTTTACTTCAAATCGCTCTCGAGTTGGCCTGCGGTATGGATGGATTATAATATGGTCACAGTGCCCGGTCTAAGTCACTTTTACTGGAGGAATAGTGAAATATAAACGTCTCCTCTGAAGGGGACAGGGAGAGGTTGACCCCTATACCGAAAGGACTTTATTTCTGATGGGAAACTGTACATTCCGAAGAATCCACCTGATTCAGCTGGGAAGCACGTGAGCCAGCGCTATTCCAAACTCCAGGAATGACTTGGGGAGACAGGTGCTAATCGCATGTATGCGTGTTTCCTATTCGTAAGGACAGCAGGCAGTGACGTGCGGTGGGAGCCGCGTTCTCCAAGAGCATCGCCGGCAGCACGAGGGGCTTCAAGTTCACTCCGCAAGGCGCTGGCTTGGTGAATCTGACAGGACCCTCGTTTCTCACTCGAGGCCGTCTGGGGTAAATGAACCGTGAGGCCGAGTTGGGCCAGTGGACAGGCCCCCGATTTGTACCCGTGTGGCCCTCATCAAATGGCCATGTGGGACAGATGCAATTTAGGGGAAACTTTCTAGTGGATTCAGGGAGTGGCGTGGAGCAAAGAGAGTGACCGGGAAAGAGAGGAGGGTCAGCTAGAAAGAAGGGACTCCTAGCCTTCGTATTTTAAAATCTTACGAGTGCATGTGTGTGTGTTGGTGGCTGATGGTAACGTATTTCCCAAGGTGGAAAACACCAAATACATGTTACATTCAAGGAGAAATGTAACACATTTCAAATTATTCAATGTTAGGGCGCCTGGGTGGCTCAGTGGGTTGGGGCCTCTGCCTTCGGCTCAGGTCATGATCTCAGGGTCCTGGGATCGAGTCCTGCATCAGGCTCTCTGCTCAGTGGGGAGCCTGCTTCCCCCTCTCTCTCTGCCTGCCACTCTGCCTACTTGTGATCTCTGTCAAATAAATAAATAAAATCTTTAAAAAAAATTATTCAATGTTAATCTTCAACGTCACAGGGGCCACCTGCCATGCTACTGTGTTAATTTGGAAGAAATTCCACATGTGCATGTGTACATAAGTCCTTGTTCAGGCTCTAAAATCCATCCTGAGAATAAACTCTTGCGTTGTAAAACTGCCTTCCTCCCACCTCCCCCAGTGACATTCCACCAGCAAAGCCACGTTTGGCAGACGGGCATCCTTTGGCACCACAGTTCATGTGCCTGCAAGATTCCTAGAAAATGTGAGTCTTTGACATAGAAAACCATGAAACGTTATCTGCCAATCGAGTGTGCTTGGACCTTATGTTGCATTTGAATATGGCGACGCCTTGAACGGGGAACCGCAGTGTCCATGGGCCCCCCACGCCCACCCCGCCCCATTCAGGAACACCTGCACCCCCTCCATGAGGAACACACGTCCTCAGGCCACACAGGTTTATCCGCAGCAGGTTGGGGTTTTGATGCCCGAGGACCCAGGTCCTCATCTTCCAAAAGAAGCCCAGAGAACTGTACCTGCACAGACCGAGCACGTGATTTTCTCCACCATCAGCCCCTGCTGGCCTGGCTGGTGAGTCTGCCACTTAAACACTCTCGCGCCTCACCGAGGTCATGTGCACTCTTGGTTGCTCCCAGCACGTGTCATGCTCCCCAGGAAACCTGGACTCCCCCTTCACCACTGAAACAGCCATTCCCTTCTCTGGGTGGCCACCTCTGTCCCCAACACACACCCCCACGCCTTCCCTTGTGTCCTGCGGTGTCTGGCACACATAGTCATGATGAGTGTGATCAGGCTGTGTCGTGATTACAACAGGAAGACCAGCCCGTGCCCTGCGCGGCGCCCATCACGGCAAGGACTATTTTCTTATCCTTCCCTCTGTCCCCAGCACTTGGCGCTGTGCACGACAGATGGAAGACAGGCTCAACAAAATGTCCAAAACACGGATGGATGGATGAATGCGTAAACACGCACAAACAGACGCATACGCGTGGGCGGTGGGACAGAGGGAGGAGGACGCTGGCTAGCTGCTGTTGGTGGCCTCTTGAAGCTATCTTTCCCTTCCAACCAATGTAAGGTGGCGCTTGGATTTTAACCCAGTACGTACACTAGAGTACGTACACAGCCACGGTTTTAAAACGAAATAGGAAAATCCTATGGCTACTTTTTATTGGACAGACAAAGGACGAGACTGGACACGAATGTGTTCAAAAGCACCAAGCAAACTAAGCCGGTATTCTACAAGGAAGGGCTGTCCCCCAAACCAGCGGCGCCTTTCTAAGCATCAGTGGGTACAACAGGGTAACCTGCGTGTGCACTCCATCTTCCTCAAATAGTTCTATGGGCCGTGGCCCGACAGGGAAAAAAAAAAAATACTAAAAACCAGACCACCACCTTCTCCCTGCTGTGCCCAATGTCAGTGGGATGAACTTTGGAGTTTACAAGATTCTTCCTTTCCTCTCTCACTTTAAATACACGGCCTGGGCCACTCTTAGGAGAAATAAAAAACCGGGATGGAAGGAAGAAGAAGATAAGCTGGATCCCAAGGATAAAGATGAGTCATCTGATGAAAATCCATTAGCTTTCAACCCCCAGATGGGGCAGAGGGGAAGAAACCCGGAATCCTGGTCTGGGTCCTGCTGTTTTCTCAAGTGACTCGATGCTGCCACCTCCTGGGAACAGGCAGCATTGCACCTGCCGGCGTCTGCCTCTAACTCCAGTCCTTCTAGAAGCCTGTGGCTGCTGTCCTCGGGCCTGAAAGCTTCCAATTCTTCTCCAAGCGCTCCCCCACCCCCCCACTTTTTCTAAGTAAACTGTGAAATGAAGTGCATCACATGTAATGAAAAGTCTACAAATCCTACAGGTAAGACTTGATGAATTTTCTTTTTTTAAATAGAGATTTTTGTTTGTTTAAGAAAGAGAGCACAAGCAAGGGGAGCAGCAGAGGGATAAGCAGCCTTTCTGCTGAGTGGGTAGCCTGATGCGGGACTTGATCCCAGAACCCTGGGATCATGACCTGAGCTGAAGGCAGACACTTAACCCACTGAGCCACCCAGGCACCCCTTGAATTTTTACAACATAAACACCTCCACTGATGACCCGCATGTGACCAGCCTCCCGCAGGCCCTACCTCCCCACCCTGGGCACCACCAGCCTGGCTGCTGACGCCATCGACGAGTTCTGCCTGGTTCAAAACCACTTCTAACCCTTTCCCAGCGAGGAATCCCGGGGGCCTGTGCACATCTGAGGCCGCCCCCAGAACTGTTCCTAGCTGGGGCGTCCTGTGTGCTACCAGCACCTGCGCTCGACAGATACTCAACTGTAAACTGTGCTGTGCGTTCAGGTGAGTTGCCTCCCTGTCCTCCTCTTGCGAGCCCCTTCTCAGGGCCTAGCTCGCAGCGGATGCCCAACATTCGTTCACTGGTTTGACCTCAATCAACTTTGTGTCCACGAGGGAGGAAACAAGCCTGCAGCAGCAGAGGTGGGGACAACGTGCAGGGGGACGAGAGATGACGGAAGAAAGGCGGATGAAGGGCAGGCGCTGGGCGTCATGGCTTCTGGTTGGGGCCGTGACCTTTCTGCGAGGAGAGGCGCACTGAGATTTCGGACTCCATCCACGAGAGCTTGCAGGAAGCTTGCAGGAAGGAGCAAGGGCACGAGCATGGGAGAGGGCCTCCAAGAGGGTTCACACCACCGGATTTCGTGGTGGGAGGGGTGCGTCCCAGCCCGAGTCCCGCTCATTCCCCAGTGGCCCTCCCCCCTCCCCCACTCTTGCAGCGCTCTAGGGAATGGTCTCCAGGCCTCTGGGAATCTGGTTTGCCTTCTCCAGGCTGAAGCTGGTCACATGCACCCACAAGAAGTTTAGCCCGGCACGAGGAGTCACATTTTTAAAACCATTCCACAGGCATGTGAGCAGCAACAGGGTGCTGGGCGCTCTGCCCTTAGAAGGCTTATGAATGAGTAGCCAGAGACACGCTCAGAAATAACCA